CTCACACATGATCGGCAACACTCACTTGATGACACTCAACTAGAGGGACCCAGTATCATTGATAAATTTTCTCGTCTCCCAGCTGTCCGTCAAAGTTTTGGGTTCCTTTTTCATGTATGTCTTAGTCTGTTCAGGTTGCTATAACAAAAATACCATAGATTGGGTGGCTTATACACAACAGAAATTTATTCCTCACAGTTCTGTAGGCTGGGAAGTCCAAGATCAAGGTTTCAGCAGCTTCAGTGTCTGATAAGAGCCAACTTTCTGTTCATAGGGACCTTTCGGATATGTCCCCAAGCAGTGGAAGAGTGAAAGAGAAATAAACAACCCCTCTGGGGTTTCTTTTATAATTCCACTCGTGAAGGCTCATCCCTCACAACCTAATCACCTCCCAAAGGCCACACCTCCAAATACCATCTCACTGGGAATCTATCACACAGGGTTAGGTTTCAAGATATGAATTTTGGGGGAAATCAAAGACATTCCACTTATAGCAACAAAATATAATTGTTGAGAAGTGACTGTCCAGCCGGGGACTTTATTTCTGAAGCCCCAGTATCTAGATGGGACCATGTAATTGACTTATGGCTAATGGATTTGAGTGGAAGGAATTTATGCTAGGTCTAGGTTAGGGCCCCCAAACTACTCCCACATGATTCTCTTCCTGCTGCATGTTGATGCCCAGAGCAATGTTGGAGGTCACGTGCTAAAATGGCAGACAGCCTACTGTCTGGATCCCTGACAGACTACGTGGCATGGAACCACTATTTACCCCACTACCACTAATTGAACTTCACGTGATCTGTTAGCAAGAAATAAACGTTATGTTAAACCACTGAGATTCTGGGGTTTATCTGTTATTGCAGTTAACAGTTACTTCAACATCGTCAATGACATCTAACTTGAAAAATAAAACTTAATTTCCACTTAGAATACTTGAAGCAGGGCTTGTGGGGAAGAGGAAAGTGGAGAGAGCAGCACATCATGAAATCAACGATATCCATCGTGTGTTAGTTCACTGGGTGAAAATGTAGTGTGGACAACAGTGCCCCCCCCCCGCCCACAGAACACCCCGAGAACAGAAAGTTAAGAGTATTCACATTTTATTACTTACAGAATGTTACCTCAAAATAGAAACTACCTCATGGACCCAAATTCTCTGCAATCGCCAAGCTCATATAAACTTTAATATAATCTGTTTTTTGGAAGCAAATATTAACACCTGTTAAAATCCCCTGCAGAAAAAGAAATTTTTCCTGGGAGATGTTCCTGCACTTACTTTGCCAACCTCCAGATGAATAAAACTTAGGTTTTTGCTTCTTCCAAAAATACAATTTATTACATAACATTTACAACTTGAGAAAAAAAATCCTAGAAATATTTTCATGAATAATAATTAGAAAAGTTCATGATGTGGGCTATAAAGAAGGGACCCTTTTCTCTGCTGGTGCATAGGACATGGGATTTATTCAGGAGACAGTCATTTGGAACTTGGTCAGCTCCTCACAAATCTCCCAGGGCTCCTAGGGGAGGCCTCTCTGGTGTTTGGAAGGAAGTGGGGACTGAAGCAGTTAGTTTCTTGTATTTTAGCTTTCTTGTTTTAGAGTGATCTCTTCAAGTACTACCCCTATGGCAGTGGATTTATTATTTAGTCTGGGAAGAAGAAGAGAAACTTCCAAATCTCTCAGTGGTTGGAGCAGGCTGGCAAGTGATCTCAGAGGCAGTGCATGCATGTGTGGGTGCTGACTGGCCTGCCACTCACCTCCAGGACTTAGAAATATCCGGAATCATCACCTGTGGTGGATGGTGGTAGTAAGACTGATCCTTTACAGAAAAACACATTCCATTTATAGCACAGGCGGGTTATAGCCCTACTCACTACTCTGGCTGTTCTGGGTGAAGGCACTGCTAGGGTTCTCTGTAGACACACAGGCTGGCAAGAAAGCTAGCTGTGGGCAACTTGGAGGTGAGAAAAAGTTGACCACTACCAGTCCAATGAGAGAGAGCACCGTGCAGTGAGAGCAGGCTTTGGAGTCCAACAGATGTGGGTTCGAGTCCTGATTCTGACTCTGTTTATCCAGATGGCCTTGGACAAATCACTTCTCTGGTCTTCCCCAAACAGTCACCACCCGGGTCTGGGCACAGGAAGGTAGTTACAGACGCTTCTTTGTCCCTGTTAGTGGAACTCAGAAGCAGTGATTATAAAACTCCAGGTGTTTGGGCTTTATAAAAACTGTTTTTATTTGTGAGTGCCCATTACTATCTTATTTGCAATTTTAGTACATCCCGAGAAAAGATTGCAAACAATTCTACAATTAAGACTTAATTCCCTCTCAGTACAGCAGATTTCCCTGCCCTCTGGGTTGGGAGTTCGTGGCAGAGGGAAGGCCATGGAACTGGAGAGAAGTTAGTGGAAAAGCAGTGGGCAGTGTCCAGGCTGGTAGGGGGTACTGAGGTTAGAGGGAGGGGATAGTGGAGGAACCTTGTTACATAAATGTTTATGTATTCTTCCCTTGCTTTCTCCAAGCCAGATGTCCATTATTTTTGGATGCTCTCTTGATACTTCAAATTTTTTAAGTCCTTCTCTGTCCTGGTATTTTTACTGTTAGCGGTATCCACCTGGTTCACCTTTGCTTCTGCTGGATTTAAGCACTGCCCTCTTGTTTTCTGAAGTAAAGCCACTCTCAGCGGATTTCCATGGTGAATCCAGCAGCTGCATCCCTCTCAGACACAAGGGCCTGGAGTGCAAGGGCAGAGCACACCTGCAGAGGCTGGGCGTGGCCTGGAGCACCGGCCCAGCCCTGCTGGGTCCTTCCCACTCCCACCTCAGGAGGCCTCAGCAGCTCCTGGTGCTGAGGGCCTGCGGGAGCCTTTCAGACGGAATCCGCCAGCAACCTCTGCCATTCTGGAGGGTACAGGGCTTGGGCCCATCTGCCCTGGGGACTGGCCAACTACTGGGGAGGGGCTGGGGCTACAAAGGCGATTGGGAACTGCAGTTCTGGGAGTCCCAGGCCTTAGTCTCACTGTAGCCTGGTTCTGGGATTTTCAAGCGTTTCTCCTGCCAAAGATAAGCTAATATCCCACAGTTGCAGCTTTTTCAGGGCACTATAAGAATTGAGACTTTTCTTCACGTAACAATGAGAATTTGTTCTGAGCCTCTGTGATAAGAAAGGAGAAAGAAAATCATTCCTAGAGGCAGGAAGAGCAGAAAATCATTTCAACAAAAGGCACAGACTTCTCATTATACCTTACTATGCTTTCAAATAAGCATTTCTGCAAGGCCATTCTTCAGTTTAAAGTAAAGTGGTTCCAAAGTCTTAGAAGATCGTGGTCTTGTTTTAGGAGGAAAAGTCTGCTCTGCAAGGCTGGTGGACGAACCCTCTTGTTCCAGGACCCAGCCTGGCAAGCCTGCTGCCCTGACGTGCATTGCGATATAATGTTGAGTTTTGCCACAGGCTGTCTTTTGGGGGAGTGTGATCAGGGAATCCCTTATAAGAAGTGATCCCTACTGGTTCAGGAATTATCCTCCACTCTAAAATGAAAAATCCAGGACAGATGCCGTGTACTGAAATCCCTGCAGAATACGATGTTACTGTGAGTTTCTCACTATCCTTTGAATAATGCAAATACTTCTTCCATGAGACAGTTGCAAAGTTAGAATTGCAGGACCCCAAAGATACATTTCAGTGATTCCCTTTCCCTTTATTAACTAAAAAACCAAAAAACACAATAAAACAATAAACCAAAAAACCAAAACTTAAACCTCTTGGGAGCATTTAATACACAGAGAAAGAAAAAAGAAGCAGAAACTGCCTGTATTCTGCACGCTTAGAAGCTTAGTGAAGAACCAGCACTATTTACACAAAGTGTGCTTGCCCAGAACTCTGGACATTTGGCTGCAGTGAATTAGCAGCGCCTGTGGAAAGGTAAGGGGGTAAGGCTGTGAGGTGAGCGACCACTGGGCGTGTGGTTAAGTGAGCAGGCTCTGGATTATTCTGAGCTCAGCAACCCACTCCCCTGGGTGGCCCTGGGTAGCCTATGAACCTCTCTGCGCCTCACAGGAAGGTGGGGGTGAAACTGGTGACTCCTTCAGGGGGCTACTATGTTGGTAAAGCAAACTAGCCAGGGCCAGGCCCACAGGGACAGTCACTCATGTCATCATCAGGAGCCTGCAGCTATGCCTGTATGGCACATAGGAGAGATTTTGATATCTGCACACATTTTTTAAAGCTTGGGGAAACAACTTGTGTGTCTCTTTTCCTCTCTCTTCTGCACTCGGGGTGTCCTCTGACTCTGCTTTGTTTGCTTTCTACCCCGGTCTTGGCACTTCTCTCTCCTCCCCTTGCAGAGCTGAGGCTTCAGCAGGAGGTCCCTGCTTCCCGAGAAGAGGAGGCCCCTGGATCTCCATCGTTTCTGGGCTGAGCACACCCTGGCTAGGTCCAGCCCACTCATTGCCCCCCACGCTCCCCCCTGCCCACTTTGCTGGCTGTAGCACACACCTCCTGCACCTGCTGACAAACACGTCAAAACCAAGTCCACTCTGCCTCGTTCATAGACTGAGCCCATTGGCTTCCTGGTTCTCCCAGCTGTATCTCCTGGACTTGTGTAATCTCCCTTGTGTAATCTTCCTCCCGTGTCTCACCTCAGACCTGGCCCTGTCCTTAGCCTTTTGGGCATCTTAGGCATCTGCTTGGCCCCTGGCCTCAGCAGCCCTGGCCCTCCAATCCTGTACTCTCTTAACAACAGAAACTGGATCACTCTCTTAATTGGAACCCTCTGACGTTGTCAAATATCTCCTCCTTTGAAAAAGTGCCATTCATGTCTTTTATCCTGAGAAAGAAAATCAAACCTACGCAGAAAAGACAGTCATTTCCCTGGCAGCTTATTGGAGTCTTGCCCCTTGAATCATACAGAAGGTCTTAATCATGAGCTTTAAATCAGTCTGCTTCCCCCTACCCAACTCCAGGGCTTCCCACCCACCACTTCACAGTTCCCCATCAGACCTCCGCCTCCAGATTACCCCTTCTCCCACGGGGTGAGCCCAAAGCTTTGTTCTGTGCTCACACTGGCTGGTCTGGGGTAGCACAGACCTGGTCATCTTTCATGACCAGATTAGATTTCTGCCTCATAAATGCCATTGAGAAGCACAGAGCTACTTAGGAAGAGGCAGCAAGGTTAGATTCAATTGTGTCTTACGTGATGACTTTAGATTTACACAGTTTTTTATGGTTTTGGTCAAACAAACCATGAAAGGCTTGGCCTACAAGCCCTTAAGATTCCCTCAGATTTGATGCAGGTCTAAGTATTCGTTTGTTCAGCTGGGGTGTGCGTGCATGTGTGCATGCATCTGTGTTTGGTGGTTCAGTGTGCTTTCTCTTCATACTAAAACTCCCTCCCAGACACATGACTGATGATGATTGCTTTTTGTGGTGCCTAATACGTTGTTCTCCACTCCATGAATATTGTTACCTGACTCCCATTCCAACCCAAGGGGAATCTGGATTCACAGAGGAATAGAACCCTTGGACAAGATCTGGAGTATGATTGCAATTTTACTTTTGAAGCACCCGTTTCCCAGAGGAGTAGCCAGTGATGGATGCCACTGTCAGAAGCCCAGATGCGCACACTCATACATCAGCCAGGAAATGACATAAACAGCGCACCCAGCAGGCCGGCGCCGACCCACCCACTTGCTCCCCTGTGGGAAGAGAGGTGGTAGGAAACCCAGGGCAGCAGAAGGGAACAGGCCAGGGAAAGGAGGTGGGAGAGGACCGGGCTCTTGCAGGCCCACCTGGTTCTTTCTTTCCTCATCTTCTGCTGAGGTCAGCAGTCACGGGCTCAGGGCCATAGCTCTATTGCTATGTGACCAGGATCACGAGAGCTGTTTCCTTTGTCCTGGGAGCGGGCCATCAGCTTGTTTTCATGGTACGTGCACATGGGTACATACAGCTCTACACACATACCTTCATCCTTACATAGGTACAGGTGATGTCTATATTTTCCTTCGGGGCGGATGTGGCCTACCTAGGCTAAGCTCATGCTATGGCATTTGTCTCTTTGGAGAGCAAGTCTGTGCTGATTCCAGCAGGACTGGGCAGCAGAGACTGGTTTGTTGCTAAGAAGATGTCTGAAAAATAAGGACACTATTAGGGCAGGAGAGTGGAAAGCAGTCCAGCAGGCCAGCTGGTAACTTGGGAGTGTGAGGGTGATTTATCGGTAGCGGCAGGCCAAAGCGTTGACATTCTTGACCACGTAAAAGCCCATGGTAACTGGAGGGATGACCAATGTCCGGCCGGCCCGCAGGGGGCGGGGCTTCAGCTCTGGGAGGGTCCCATCGTCCACCATCACTAAGGGCTGGCCATTCAGCTGCACTGACCTGCAGAGAAGAAAAATAGCAGGGGCTTGTTATTCATCATCCCAGCAGAGCCTGTCTGATATTTGCCCAGCCGTCACTTACTGACACTTGCTGTGCCCAAGTGCTCACCTGGGTATTTTACTTTTAAAAACTCATTTAAAAATTCTAGCAATGCTCTGAGAAAGAAATTGGCACTATCCTATTTTACCTAGAGTGCCTAAGTGACTTGTCCAAGGTCACACAGTCTAGGTCTGGGAGCCAGGATTTGAACACAAGAAGTCTAGTTCCAGAGACACAGCATTTAGACAGATGAGAAGTCAGCAATGCAGAAGCTGAAAAATGTCTTATGCCTGTTTTTTAAAACCATAATAGCAATTCTGTTTGGCTTTTTACCTAAAGCATTTTTTCCTGTGGAGTGATGCAACCTCTTATGATGGTTTCAGAAATCTCCTACTTAGCTGGTGTCTTTAATTTATTTGAGGGATTTGAGAATTAACATCATGTCACTTGTCTAGGGTTGTTCTGAAAGAGGACAGAGACATTTGGAGACTCCTTTTTCTAGTCTAAGAGTGAGTTTTCATATCGAATATTTAACGGATGTTTCTGTTTTAGCAGCACAATGGAGAAGGTGATAAAGTATGCATTCTTTAAAATTCCAGTTCACCCATCCTGCCTGCTTTTATTGTTCTGTGTATCAGCCATCACCAATCCTGGAAAGAGGGCCGCATACGGAGCGCACTTGGGAGAAAGGGAAATAGCTCATCACCCATCCTTGGCCTGTGGTACAGAATCCAGAGAACTTCCCAGCTGTCCCTGACCCAGAATGACTCGTACAGCCATGCACCCAGATTGAAGCTCCGTTTTCTGGGCCAGAAGAAAAGGCTAGAGCCAGGCCACCAGCTGGAAGTAAGGCTGTGAGTCACCCTCAGAAAATCAACATCGCATAGTGATGGCTGTTTTGGGCCCTTGCTCAATCTCCAGCGTGATAACTTTGCAGTGATATAATCTGAGCTGTAAAGAGACTGAAACGTTAGAAATTGATACAGAGGTCTTTGTTTCATGTGCCTTGTGTGCTGTGAATGACAGATAGGTTTAGAGAGAGATAAGCAGACCTCCGCCCAGCAGAGCAGCACACTCCCCGAGAGGAGTGTGTTGTGTTCTGATCCCAACAGAGAGTGAGGCAGGGAGGCAGGTCCAGGCCTGTCCCACACAGGTAAGTTTGGGCCTGGTCCAGACCTGACAGGCCAGAGGGACAGCCGCGCTCCACTTGCAGGAATGACTGAGGAATGAAAGAGGGAGCAGGGGGCTGAAGAGCGAGGCCTGCCTCTGGAAAGTGTGGAAGTAGGAGAACCGAGATCTGGTAAGTGTTGACCTCATCAAATCTGCAAGGTGCTTTTGCTCCAAATGTGACCCTCTCTGGTGAAGACAGTCTATTCGTCTACTCATTAGAGTGGGATGCAGGATGAGGAGAAGGGGTCCAGTTGCAAAAAAAAAAAAAAAAAGCCCCAAAACAAACAAAAGTAACAACAACAACAACAACAACACACCAGAACAGGTCTTCACAGTGTATTTTCATCATTTTGTTCAGGTGGTGTGAGTATCCAACAACAGACATATGCACTAACAAATAAACGTTCAATAATGTAATTAATCTTTCCAATGACTACTCAGTTGACATCACTGCTCTCCTTCAAAACCTTCAGTGGCCCTCTTACACAGGGAGTTGGGTGCAAGTCCCTCCCACTAAGGAATTTAGCTTTGCGTGGTCCCAGAGCATTGGTATCTCTGGGTTCTGGGAAGTGCAAAAAAGTATGATAAGCAAGCCTTTGAATTTCTATATTGTTATCTTGGGACAGGCCCCATTCTGATTCCTTGTTGGTTATTTCAAAAGCTAACCCAGAACCAGGGAGCATTGTTGAGATTCTGGACCAATCTGTAATTCCAAGAGCCCAGTCACTGACTTGCTAGGCAGTCTGGCAAATCTCTTCGCCTCCCTTCCTGAGGTTTTCTTATCTGTGCAACTGCTCTAGGCTGTAGGGCCAGAGACATGAAATACAAAGTATGAAGGTGCTTTGAGAGCATAACAAACACATAAGTGGGACATGGTGTTTTATTAATTTTTTTTGCTGTAGTTACGGGACACTTATTGGTCCTTGTACTTGACTGCTCTTGGGAGTGACAAGTTCATGGCTCTTTCTTAAAGCCCTCTCTTCCCTTAGCTCTCATGGGACACCTCTCTCTCTCTCTCTCTCTCCCCCCTCCACCCCCGCCCTCACTCCCTTGACCCTCCATTTCTGCATGTGGTTGCCTTCTGGGGGGGCACTACTGGCTTCTACCTGCCTCTCAGATGCTGGGGTTCTCAATGCTTTGTCTTTGGATCTCTTCTCCCACATAGCACCCCCTCGCTGAGTACGTTTACTCACACCCAGGCCTTTGATTGTTATATACATCAGTGCTTCCCAAACCTGGCCTAGATCCTTCTAACTAATGTATCTCCACTTGGCTGTCCCCCAGGAACTTCAAAGTCTCTATGTCTAAAGTCAAAATCTTCTCCTCAAACCCTGTCCTTTCCTTTGCCTTTTTTGTATTGGTAACACCATCTATCCAATTACCTAAGCCAGAAAGCTGTCACCTGGGACTTTGCCCCCAATTCTCTGTCAGCGGCACTGAGTCCAATCAATTCTACCTTTTAATATTTTTCATATCTGCTTCTTTCTCTCCCCTCACTGCTACTATTTTAGTCCAGAACTTTCCATGTAACCCATCTCTCTGCCCCCTGCCTTGCCTTCCTCCTGCTGCCTGCCACACTGCCGACAGAGCAATCAATTGCTGTCACTGCCTTAAACTCCCCGGCATCTCCCCGTCCCTTCCACTTTCACATGGACAGCGAGGCCTGGCCCCGGCTAGCTCTACAGGCTCAAATTCTGCAAGCACTCCTTACTCCCATGCTGAGTGGCTCACTGACCTTGGGGGGTGGGCACAGGCTGAGTTGGCAGTTAGAACCATGAATAAAGATTGTTTCTCAATGAAAAGATAGTTAAGACTTGCAATAAATGAAATAAATATTTCTCAAATGAAAATGTAAGTAGACACTGTTGGAAATAAAGTATACAACTTCATTTACAAGTACAGTAAATATTTTTCAAATGTAAATACCAGTACACTTGGGGTTAATAAGTCACAAGTTCATTTAAAATTTTTATAAAATTCCTAACAGATTTTTTTTTGGGGGGGGAGGAGGGGAATATGATGTGCTTTTTTCAAGCAAGGGATTTAAAAGGACACTTACTATAATGGGGGAGGCCCGTGACATGTGCTGACATCACAGAGGAACCATAGTCCTTTTCAAGCCCAGTGCCCTCACCGGGCGTGACCAAATTCAACACCCTGAGGTCCCATGTCTGCAGGGCCCCTTCCTCCTGGAGCACAGCTTCCTTAGCCGTGCTCTGTCAGACTCACCACACTGGGTCTTTGCAGAACTCCTCAGGTGCTGCCCCCTGTGGGGAACCTTCTCTGAACCCTAGCTGGGCAGGAGCCCCAACTCTGGACTCTTGTTAATCCCAAGCTGATAACCACCTCACTGAACTGCAGTGTCTTTCTCTCTCACTGGGCTGTGAGATTGGTTAGGAAAGGGATCGTGTCTTTCATCCCTAAATCCTCGGTGCCCAACAAGGTGTTTGGCATAGAGGGATGGAATATTTTGGAACAAGTGAATGAGCTCTGAGGCTCTTTTGCATCACTTCTGATCTTCTAGGGTGGAGTTTCTCCAACCTGAGAGAGGCTCCCTGGAGGGCCGCTGAGTGTCTTTACAGATTTCATTAACCTACCAATTACTCTCGCTTTCAGTGGTTCTGGAGATGTTAGATAAGACCTGAATTATCGCTGATTCTCAGTCATTCACCAGATAACTTATCCCAGCCTGACGCAAGGCCATTGATCATGGATAGTATTTTTTATCCTTAAGAAAGATCCATAAGACCATCTCTTAGCTAAGCCAACATGAATTAATTTGGTGAGAACCTGAGTCCCCATACATCCTCATCTATAAAGTTCCTCCATTATAAAGACAGATCATGTGCTTTACCACCTCCATTCTATTTTTCCTGCTGACATTTTTCTTTTAATATTTATCCTGTTACCCAGTGAAGTCACATTTTGCTAAATATTACAATAATCCTTCATTTTTATGAAAAATTTGTAAGTTTAAAAATAATCACATTGATGATAAAAATCACTGATTAGCACACAATGTCTATTCAAAAGGCATTTTGCAGTGATTTCATTTGACTTTTGCATTTAGTCTTTCCAACAACCAACTGAGGTAGGGATTAGCATCCCTATATTACACGTGAGGAAATCAAAGTTTAGAGGCGCTTCAACTTCACACAGCTAGTAAGTGGTAAGGGTGAGATTTGCAATGCTCCCTCGTGATTGCTACAGAGCCCTGTGAAGTACATGGGGCAGTTATTAGTATTGTAACTTTGCTTACTGAAGTGAGGTCAGAGAGGTTAAGTGGTCTGGGCAAGGTCACATAGCTAATAGGTGGCTAAGCCAGGTCTTGGATTCAGTCTTCTGACACCTCTTTCTACTATTTGGTGTTGTGCTCCAATTCCAGATGGCACTCACCAAGATCATGTTTCTTTATTTCAAAACCTTACCTTATCATATTTCCATCATATTTTGGGATCTCCTCCACTGCTCATGACTTTTCAAACCAAGTGCTAAATGATTTGGCCTATATTGGACTATTTTCTTAATTCCCTAGCTGCTGAGGGCATTTAAATTATCCAAATATTAGGACAACTGCGTTTTATCACCATTTGTTTTTACAAAGTCTGAGTTACTTTTGAATTCCTAAACTTGTTTTCTTTATTTTGCATGCTATTTGACATGGGATTCAATGTGTCAGTGAGGAGTCAAGCCCTCTGCTCCCCCGGTCTCTCTGGGAGTCCCTTGCCCAGGTCACCCTCCTTCGCCCCACCACCTGTCTACAGTCTCTGGTCATTATGTCTTGCCCTGTT